CACTTCACATTTAATTTCCTCTTACGTATACGTAATATTCAAATATCGTTACGCATACGCAGTGTGGGTTCTCTTTAAGATAAAATGCGAAATATACGTAAGTAACCAGGACAATCGACATTTGGCTAATTGGTGGGTAATTTTCACCTTATTGCCCACTTCAATATATTTGTGTACAAGGCAAAAATATAATATTCTTTTGGCTTATATTAATTTGATTTCTATATACAACTTATGGATCCGCATGAGCAACAAATTACGCGCAAGTATCCCAGTACTCATACAATACGGAGGCTTGAAGTCGTTACAATTACATTAGTTTTCCATTGTTTGCCTGAATTCCGAGTCCAACTAAATTAGAAATAGCTGTAAAATTTAATCAAGCCCAAGGATGTTTTACTTCCCAATTAGATACTAGTCTTGATTTCACATACTAGTTGCAGTGCTAGTTGCACTTTGCTAAATACATTTGTGAATTTTCTTCGATTATTGCATGTTGGTTTTACCTTTTCCGTGTTACCGCAAAATCATATTTTGAGAACCTACACAAACGCAATAAAACGAAATTAGACTTGTTTCCAGCTCCTCAAGTAGAGTACTCCCTGGAACTGAGAATTGCTTCTATTTTCACACACCAAGCTCATATTTTTCGTCGATTCGGCATTTGTTTGCCTGCCCAATTGGAGTGGCTTCAACGTTATAATTTGGGCTAATCGATTTCTCCGACCATTTATCAGGTGGCAGCTGGAAATGCAAACTCTGCATTTCCGGGGCTATCAAGGACATGCAAAAAGCTAGCGTGCATTGCCGAGATATATCCTAGATACATGTACACATATTTAGATGTGATGTGTGGATGCGGATGCGGATGAAGAAACATTAGACGGAGAGCTTTGCATTTGACGTCGTCACGTGGTTGCTGCTGTGTTCCTGGGTCCCAGCTGCCTTGCTCGCTCCTCCGCCCTCGTTTTCCTCGCCTTGGCTTTCCCGCTTTTCCCCCGGAAAAGGGAGACAACATCAAATCATTAGCAGTGCATAAAGCGTGAAACCAGGCACAGACATGCAGATGAATTTAAACTATTAGCAGCGGCAAGAGGAAAGAATGGAGCGGACTGACTATGCCAACAATGTTGGACTCTCATCCGCCTGCAAGGTGCATCCATCGTTAGGCAGCTGGATTCGGTTGGGTTTTCCCAGCTCACTGCTACACTGACGGAAAATGCGTCTTGAAGTGCTGGAAATGCGTCTTGAGTCAAAAAGCCCAAAAGTATGCAACAATATTCCTTGAATTCAAAAGTTATACATCCTCGCATCTTAAAACCGTGCTATAATTTATGTTTTCCTGTGCTAGAGTTTAATTTCTAACTAACTTTTATTCAATATTATATAATTATGTGGGAGAAACCACCTAGTTGCGATGCAATAAAATAGAGAAAATAGCCCGCGAAATAGCTGGTTAAATAAAAATAATACTAAAAATAAAACAAATTAATATATATAATAAAATATGATATAATCCATAAATATATATAATATAATGACGGCGGCAATAGTAGCAAATAAAAGGTGGGTATTTTTGGGGCCCGAAAATGCACGAGAGGGATGTTCATTTTTGGAACCTGATCTTTTCCCCAGTGCATCACCCCACCCCGCCCGCCTGTTCCCTTGGCAATGCTCGTCCTTGTTCTGCTTCAGGATCTGGTTCTGGTTGACATAACCCCGCACATTGTTATAAACGCAATCTTCGCTTCCTCCCTTGGCCTTTATTTGTGTCGTGTGAATATAAAAGATGCAAATGCAAAGATATTTTTTCCATTTTCCATTTTCGTTTTAGGCTGGCAGGAGGCGGAGATGGCGATGGCGATGGCGATGGCGGGGCTGTGAGTCGGATACGGCTTCAGATTCGGATTCGGATTCGCATTCGGATTCTGTGTTGAGTTGCGGTGAGTGCAACTTTCTGGGGCAACATTGTCGCACAGTTCCATCCATTGTGTGGCAGAGCGGTTCTGTGCAATATAAATAACTCGGCCGGAGTTGTGTGCATATTTTGTAACTGCCCGTACAACTTAAAATAAATACAAAATGTTGGTTAGTTCCTCTGCTGCCGGCGACCATCATTTGACCAATTCAAAACACACACTCGCACACACACATCGAAAATATTTGCACAGCTCCTGTTTGTGTTTGTGTTTGTGTGTTTTGTGTTGTGTGTTGTGTGTTGTGTTTGAATTTTGTATTTATTCATCACGATACAAATCGAGCGCAGTCCTCATATTCCGATGGCAAAGCTTTTATATTTGCCCTTGTGGTTTCTTTTTTAATCAGTCATGAATGTGTGGAAAAATTTGCATTGACACATTCACTCGGAAGTAAGAGTAATAGTTTTGAAATATATTTCACATACACAGTTGATTTTGTGTTGCTTAAGCTGCCAAATACACAGATTGCTATAATCATCAAATCAAATATTGTCTATTTTACAGCACAGCTTTCGACAGCAGATTATTTGCAGCCCATCAAACCGCTGCAAATTTAATAAAATAAATCTTGCACTTACCCTTGTACGAGTATGTAAAATTGATTGAATGCTCATTAGGTTTCCATAGGTATTTCTCTTTATTTATTTTTATTTCTTATTTTTGTTTTTGTGGGGTCTTTTCGATTGCGCGTTTTTGAATATTCAGTTTCATAATCAGATTTTACAGTACAAACATTGGGTTTCGCTCATTTCTTATGTACATACATAAACATAAATTCAACTAAATGCTATCTTTACGTTGTTTTGTTGAATCAATAATCGTGGAATTTCGCATTATTACGCAGCAAACTTTCGTTTTTGTTTTACATGGGCTTACATCTTGAAATTGTTGGATATTCTCATTGCATATGTACTTGTCAAATATTTGTATACTCTTCTCGTTTATGGTTTATTTTGGTATGGCTGTAGCGTAGACATTGAATTCTTTATGACTTGAATGGTTTTCTGGTTTTAACTTAGTTCGTTAGTTCTTACGTTTTACTATAGTTTAGTTGCCTTGCCTGTCTTTCTCCGCCTGCAATTTCCACTAAATGTACTTGTAGTTGGTTTCTTTTTCAACAATGCGATCGCCTGGGGTTCCATTTAGATGAGTTAATAATTATTTTCCTTGCCTTACACGTGTAGGTTAAACGTAACTTTGATTTGCTAGGCGATTACGTTACTCTCGTACCCGCAAAAAAAAAATACTCCCTATATTTAATTAACTTTATTTTATGTATATCTTCATTAAATTTAAAATGTATTCCTCCCTTCCTGTTTCCCGCCCCATACATTTGCTTTTTGGTACGTATATGAGTCAGAGTACATCTGAGTAGTCGGCCTTCAAATAATTCTAACCAACTGGATTTTGGGGAACGGAGTTGGATATGCGGATTATACATATGTCTGGGTATTACTGTATTTTGTATCTTGTATTTTGTATTTCAGATATGAACACACACATTTTAATTCGCTATTACCTCTGCTTATTTACGCCTCTTGCACTGCTTTGCTTCAAGTTGCTTTTAATGCTTTTGGCACATTTATTTCTATTTATTCGGGTTTCCTTTCCTTTGATTTACATTCTATTTAAACATGGAATTGAGCTGGACACGCACACAAGAGTATTACGGAAACATATACGTGGGTTTCAGTGTGTGTGTGTGTGAGTCTGGCGTTAGAAAATGAATATCGTGGTACCTAAAATATCATATATAAGGTCTGAGGAACTATTTAAATCGCTTCGCGCAAGTAATCCAGAATTTGCTAGAAATATTATACTGCTACATTACTGATACCTTGAAACAACTAACTTGAAACACTAACGAGATGGGGGTGTATTTAAAAATCAATTTATGGATTGCTGCTTTCCACATAGTAAACAATATTAAGTTGACTGAAAGTATTAGGTTACCATGTGTTTTTGACACTAAACATGCCATTCTCAATGTACGAGTTAAGTGTGGAAGAATTCGAAAGAATCTCATTCTCATTCTCCTGATCCATATCGTGAAATAAAACAAATCCCATATCTCATCGCTACAGATTCCAAAGATTGAAGATGTTAATGAACATTGGTTTTATTGAAGGCGTGTTGAATTTTCTAAGCTAAATTCACACACACACCATTTGCTTGTGGGATTCGAAAGTTGGCTTAAATCTAGGGTCCGCTTAGTCTTTTGAGCCGTGAGAACGGAGGTGACAACAAAGGGGTCCAAAAATAGAACCATTTTTACCACGATAACAACGAAACTTTCTCGGGATTAAAGGGTAAAGGGTGTAAATATTTACAGCTTACGGTATGCAAGATCGTCTAAACATATTTCCTTAGACACGGATGTCCTTCTCTTTGAGCAGGCCTTAAATATATATACAGAACTCTTGATTAAACACCTAATACATGTAGCTTTATGTATACGTGTAAATATTTCATCTAGAAACACGAACTCAACAAATTAGGGACTTGGTTGAACGAAAGCAAACGTTACCTATCATATAGACATGTAGAAATATCCGTATCAATGTCTTTACCGTAATCATTATTTATAGTACGCAAATATCCTTCTGCGGGCGTACTTTTGTTTACTTCAGAGTAGCTAAAGCCATTCAAAGAACCGAACACCATTTAATCTTAATATTGTTTATAGTTGACTGCCATTTGTGGGGGTTGGGTTTTCCTTGCCATCCTTGCCATCCTTGCCTTCATTTTCCACTAACGAGGTAACATTTAAACGCGTTTTCTTTCCACTTAACTACGACACTTTAGGTTTTCTCCCTTCCTTTTGATTTAATATGCATTCAATTAGCCCTGCCCCGTGCCGACGCCCCTCACCCCTCACCCCTTGCAATTAGCAGGGGCGTAGATGACTAGCCATCCCCATTGATTAATGCCCCTTTTTCCTGCCCCAGCGTGTGCTTATGTGGGTGTGGCAGGGCGGCACGGGCGGCAGAGGCTCCTTGCATCATAATCTTGCTTGAACACTTACAATTGAATTAAGCTATAATAATCTAACTCTGGCGGCGCTGACCGCCTCCAACTCCGCGCCGATCTCTCCCAGCACTTGCTCCACTTCTCCCGCCGCCCGGTCGAGCTCGTTTCCTTGGCCTTCTTCTTTTGTCTGCCGCCTTTTGTGCGGCAGGACAATGTGGTTGGCCCGGCCTCGTCCTCGTCCTCGTCCTCGTCCTGGGCCTCGGCCCGCGCCGTGAATAATACCAATAAGGCTAATAGAAATGTCCCGATTAGCCGCATTGTCCCTCCTCCGCGGAGCGGGTCACTCCCGCTGGCCGGGTGCTGATCCGGAGCGCGGTCCTTGTAGAGCCTGCCGTTCAGGTTGCGTGACCCATCCTCGCTGCGCGTGTCCTTCTGCACCACCTCGTTTTTCTGCGGGATGAAAGAAAGCAAGTGCGTTTTGTTTTCTTTTGTTCCATTTCGATTGTCTCGCCAAGGTTGGGCAAAGTTCCTAAATATGTGGGTTCTGGGATGCAGGGGTCAACTTACCGACACTTCGTTGAGATCGTCGTCACGGAGGATTTTCTTGCCGGGACGCTCCATTTCTGGAAGCACAATGGGAGAGCAAAGGGCGTGCGCTTTAATTTATATTAATCTATTGTTGGACACTGATACCAAGAAATGAATCATAAAAACATTTACTGGCATCTGTCTAATCTGTCTAATTTGTGTCTTTTTCCAAATGCGAAACATGTGTTTAGTGTTTATTGTTAGCTTTCTAATTTGCCACGAAATCGAGCAACTGAAGGGCTTCGATGTGTACAAGAGCTAGTCATTCCTTACCATATAGCCGGATGGTGCCCTCGGTGTCGCCGATGCTGTTCTTCGAGATGCACTTGTAGCCACCGAAATCGCTTGTCTGCAGCCGCTTGATGTGCAGAATCATCTCGATGGCATACATATTATTCTCCTTTTCGGTGAGCGCGTAACGATCGCCGGCAATAATCATTTCACCTGTTTTCGGGCCAAAGAGGTAAGAGTGGAAAATGTAGACAACTCGAAATGAGCAGCGATGAAAACGGGATGTGATGAGTTGAGGTGTGAATGAAGTCATGAATACGAAGCAGGGAATCGGGCCAAATGAGCTCGGGTTACGTGAGAAGAAAGGCGGAGAAAGGCGGAGGCAAGCGGAGAAAGGGGCTGAAAGGACTCCGTTGACGAGGAGACGAGCCATGGATGATGACATTTCTGGCGCTGCCGTGAAGCGTTTCACGTTTACACTGCGGCTCTCGTCACGTCTGCAATATACGTCAAATGCACTTGACAAAAGATCCAGGCAGCCAGTGCTCCCCTTTCTACGGCTCCTCCACATTTCCCCCCTTTGGCGGGGGACAACAAAATATTTGAGCTGGGAACACGAACCAAATAAAGACAAATTGCGGCATTGAAAGGTTTATAAAGTTTGAACCAGTCCGAGTTCCAACTCGAGCGGATGCTAAATGAAAAATTCTATTCGTGGCCACTCCCGCTCAGCAGGCACACTGAGAAAAATGAAATCAAGTGAGGGTGCACGAAATAAGAAAGCATTAAGTCGACCCACATGCACATTGCATTATTATTACTAATGTTCAAGGAATTGAATTACACTTTAATCTGAGCTAAAAACGTGTTAGCAGTTAGTCCAAAATCATAAAGGTCCGCATATCGGATACTTGGCCGAACTAAAAACCAGTAATAAAATAGCTAATTCAGTGAGTTAGTATGTCGGACAATCAAAATCAGCTAAATGACATTCAAGATGTTGCCAGTGGATTGGCTTCCGAGTGGCGCTGTGCAACTTACCATTCTCGCGCTGCCAATAATTGATGGCCTTCGGCGATGCCTCGACATTGCAAATTAATGTGACATCCGTAAGGACCGGGGCGCCGACCAATTGATTTGGCACTTGCACCAGCGGATGAACTGCGAAGGAGAAGAAGGAGCAAGTGGGTGGCCAGTGAGTCAGGGTGCATGAGTCGCGGATGAGTGCTCCCCCGTTGGGAGCCCATTGTTAAGCCATCAGAGTGGCCTTCTGACCTTGCCGACCCGCCCAACCCGCTGAACCTGCTGGCCCCCGGCTCTTAGCTGCTAACCCTTAACCCCCCTAACCCTTAACCCTCTCAGCCCCGCGGACTAGACCGGCAATTAAGCTGGCAACCAGGGAGCCATGCCAAACTTCAAACCCTTTGTCGGACTCCGGATTCCCGATTCCAGCTGTGATTTGTATTTTTTCGCTGTTGGTTAATGGCAGCGCCAACAACAACTGATACGATTTTAATTGAAAATGAATTATTTTGTTGTTAGAGCAAGAGCCAGCAATCCTGGCCAGCAATCAGGACCAGCGCCATGACCATGACCAGCGCCCGCCAGCAGCAGCATCATCCATCGCTTTCGCCCAGTGGTCAGTCAGTGGCAAATGAAACCAGTTTCTCCTTGGTTTTCTCATCGGATTTTCCCATTTTCCACTTCCTAATAGGGATACACTCACTTATCTGGCCCGACTGGGAATTGGCTTTCCCAGTCGGAGGAGTGATGTTCCCAGAACGGTTTGATGATCCCTCTATCGAGGCGTCTTTTCGTTTGAACTTTGGTAATTGCGTTAGCGATTCGAAGGATTTGTATTCAGGCAACTTTTTGGGCAACCAAATTGTTCAATTAAATTTCTATTTCAAGTCAAATGTATTTATGAATGTTTTTAGTTACCATAGCGTAAAGTGAAGTAATGCAAAAGTTACGAAGTGAATGAAGTTTGTATCTGCGACATGTGTTGGGATAGGAATAAGGTGGAATCATTTTTGAAAAGGTTTTAAGGCTATTTAGGAGCGGAGTTAATTGTTTTCGCCAACTGTTCTTCGTTTGCTTGCCCTCGAATAGAGCATTTTTAGTTCGCCAAGGACGTGGCACTAATTCATTGGGTTTGCCCTTTGGAGTTTTCCATGTTGTTCGTGTCGTGTTGAGTTGGTTTTTTGTTCATTTTCGGAGTTTTTTGCCAGTTGATTTTTTGCGTTTTTCGTATTTTTTGTTCGCGTTTTCTTTGACCCTTCTCCCTTGTCTTTGACGTTGTCTTGAAGCCGCCCCAGGGAGCGCACACGGAAAAGCGAAGGACCAGAGGACCAGAGGACCAGAGGACCAAAGGACCAAAGAACCGCAGGCCAGAGCCACTGACCATCATTGTTTTTTGGCTTTTCAACTTTGCTCCTACATCCGCCCTGCCTTTCAGCGCCCTTCGCCTCGAAATGCATTCGAGCGTTCATTATTGGCCAATTTATTGGATTTGTGCATGCCGCACTCTCGGCCTGGCTCCATATGCCGTCCGGATTTTTGGTCCGTTCTCCGTACGCTTCCCGTGCCGCCGTTCGTTGCGCCACCCCTTCGGACTCGAAACAGTGCAGCGTATGTCATGTGGTGTTCTCAGTGGTGTCGGGACTCGGGATATACCCGATTCCCCTTGGCCTGCCACTTATTGAAATTTCAATTTGCCCTAATAGAGCTTTTCAGCAGGCAGCAGCTGGCGGGCAGCAGAAATATAAAATCATTTACTAATATCGTGATTAAATTATCAAAATACCTGGCCTAAATATATCCCTTTTATTTTAAATACAACTACCTATTTGCTTTTCGATTCCATCCGTTACTCAGTAAGTAAACGGCTATCTAATGAATTAGCAAGCAGTTAAGATGCTGCTTTACAGTCGTTGCTTTACAGTCGTGATCTTCGTCCAAATGTTCTGAAACAAGCCGTCTTAATACGGACGACCAGACGGGCGGACAAACGGACAAAAGGACGGACAAACGGACGGACAAACGGACGGACAAACGGACGGACAAACGGACGGCCAAACGGATGGACAAACGGACGGACAAACGGACGGACAAACGAACGGACAAACGGACGGACAGAGGGACGGACAAACGGACGGACAATCCGACGGACAATCCGACGGACAAACGGACGGACATGGCTGGAAAGACTCGGCTAGTGTTACACGGCGAGTAATATCTTCCAAGAAAAGAACTGGCGTTTCAATGTGCCAATTGGATTTTATTTGCATGCATTTAGAAAGTTTCTGAAAGTTGTCAATACTCGGCGATTGAGATTTAGAATCTATCCCGAACCAGTGGTGCTATCCGTGGAGCTATCAATGGAGCTAGCTGTGGAGCTGGCAGATGAGCTATCAGTAGAGCTATCCGTGGAGATATCAGTGGACGAGCTGTTGACGGCGGAGCTGGAGGAGCTGCTGGTTGTGCTGCTGTTGTTGGCCAAGGAACTCTCCGTTGTGCTCCAGACAGGTCTTGGGCGACGAGGACGTGGACGTGGGCCCCATCTGCCGGGACCACCGAATCCACCATTGAAGCCTCCGGGAACGCCAAAGGCGCCAGGACCTCCGAATCCTCCGCGACCGCCGAAGCCTCCAGGGCCTTCAATGCGACCAGGACCGCCAAAGCCTCCAGGGCCTCCAAAGCGACCAGGACCGCCGAAGCCACCGGGGCCACCGGGGCCACCGCGACCACCGAAGCCACCAGGACCGCCTTCACGTCCGCCTCGACGTCCGCGTCCACGTCCGCCGAATCCTCCCAGACTGCGAGCACCTCCTCCGCCGCCACCGCGTCCTCCACGTCTTCCGCCTCCTCCTTGGGCCACAACAACTGCCACCAGGGCCAGAAGGGTAATTGCAATGTAGGCACGCATTCTCGGGCTTTTGCTCCAATCGCAACTGGTTCCAATTATCCACACAAAGCCCCTTTTATACCAAAAATTTGGAGGCGATCTCATCCCTCAGCCGGCCAAGAATCCCCCGTGACGTCAGCATTGGCTGTGTGCTTAGCTGGATACTTCGAAGACCGGAGAATGGAGCGAAGAACTGAAGAACTCCCCGAAGAGCTGAGCTCGAGTTCTTCGCATCTAGTAATCCGTGCGTCTCTTGTTTTTCCCGTGTGGCAACAGCTGGTCCATGTTTGGATAAGGTCTATTGTTTACTATTTTAATCAAGCCGTTTGAGTCTGAAGTGCGTTGTCAAATGGGGAGATTTGCAGACATTTACGCCAATTTGTTTAGAAGAAAACGAATGTCTCTTTGTAGGCTTATAACCCTACTGCAAATCATTGTTTATAACGTTTTATTTGGTTTTATAAAGTTTCAACAACTGGGTTATTTAATCAGAGAAACAAGAGCTTAGTCTTTTCTTTATTCTCTTAAAATTTCTTAGTTTGCTTAGATCGCGACAGAGTAGCAACCTAAAATGTTGTTTTCTAATGATGTTGGTCTGCTTTATGAGGTGTTAGAAATTATTTTTTTTAGGACTATTTAAGTGAATAGAATGCCATTTCATGCAGTAATAAAAGAAAATATGCGTGGAGTGTATATGTAACGTCCGACAAAGAATAAAATAGGTAAGATTTCATATGAATTTAAATATTCATTTACCTACTAACTTAATTTACTGCCAATAGTTAGGTTCATTAGTATATATACCGCTTGGGGTATATATATTAAGGTTCATAACAAATAATAAACATATTACTGATATTATTTTACGCGCGCTTGCCGAGCTTAGAAAATTGAAGACAGATGTGGATTGCGTTTTGCAAAGTATAGCAGAGTTGGAGCAGCTTTTCCGACTTTCCCAGTTCGAGCTGCGAATGTCGAGGGAGAGAAACAACAGGAAGAGAAATCTTTAAGATTCCACACCCACTTAGTGCTAATACACGGCAAAAGACCTCGAGGAGCCACTTAATTTTCTGATTAGAATCAATCAGGGCGTCGAGTGAAATGTGCGGCTGAGACAAGGACCCCAAGTTGGGCGGGGGGTTAAGGAAACGCGGCTTTTCCTGCTTTTCGCACATATGGATTTTTAAATTGAAAGTTCGGGGGCCAGGAGGTGGATGAGTTCGTTCCAAGCCGAATGGAAATGAAATGACAATGAGAAAAAGAAGGGAATTTGCGGCGTAGATACAAAAAATAGAAATGAAAATTAATTTTTGCTGCAAGTCGAGTGTCAAAAGTGTGTGTGTGTGTGGCTAAAGAAACTGGCGCCGCATTTTCACGACCGTGTCAATATAATTTTCGGATACAATCTTTTGGGGTTTCAGAGAAGCTGATGCTTCTAGGTATTCTTCGCTGTCGCCCCTACGCTTTTCCCTTCGTTTTCCCGCACTTTTCCCCTTTTAGCGTATTTTTTCTGTGTTCTGTGTTCCTCTTGCTTTTCCGCTTGCCAAATTGTCGTCGTTTGAACTTTTGCCCCTTTTGGAAATTTCATTAACTTTGATGCGGGAAGGTAAAACAGTTGCGGGGGGGTTTTAAAGGGGTCTTAAAGGGGTTTTTATGTGGGGGGCAGACAGAGGGAAAGTGCAGAACTGCCCTTAACAATTACCACTTCACATGATACACACACTCGCCGGCACACACAAGTTTAAAGTTTTACTGCAGAAACGTGACGTTGCGTTGCCCCAAGAAACCCTCCCCTCTCCCATCTCCCATCTCCCCGCGTTTTCCACGTTCCCCATTTCCCCATTTTCGTACGGAAAAATGCCCTTTGACCCCACATCCGCCAGTTTGGCGCCCTAATGCATTTGGAAAGTTTGCCGGCCACGTGAAGGAAGCTGCCGGATATCGAAACGGAAACACTTGCAGTTGCCGCCGCTGCGTTATTGCTGCGGTTCTGTTCCCGCTCCCGCTCCCGCTCCCGTTCCCGTTCCTGTTCCTCTTCCGTTTCCGGTTATAGTTCTGCCGTACATGCGGTGCAGCCCCCTTCTGGAACACGCACGGCACATCCGAACCGGGCTATATGTTACCATTATGATTATTATGCGGCATTAGCTGCCTGCGACTGCCATAAATCAGGCCATTTTCTTGGCCAACAGCTGCAGGTGGCGCCCCCCATTTATCATGTATCACATATGAGCAGATATATATGTATATACTGTAGACTGTACTCACAGTGCACCTGTAGCTTCATCCGCTTGCTCACCGTCGGCGGCACTCCGTTGGAGGCGATGCACATGTAGGCGCCCATTTCCGATCGCGTGATCTTCGACAGCGTCAGCATTTCGCCCTCCACCGATTGGGCTGTGGGTGAAGAAATGCGTATGCACAGGAAAGGGGTTAGTACATAACAGTATGTGCTTATAACAATGTGTGTTTTTGCCTTAAAATGGAGCCCTGCGTTTAAATCGTTGTGCAAATGGGTAGTTCAGTGAAGTTACTCTAAAGTAAGCTTGAAGCTTTAATTTGTTTCACAGGAGTCATGTTCCATTTGTAACTCGATTTTCTAAGTCGGTGAGCAGAAAGTGTGGCACCTACCTTTTGTTTTCTGGTGCGAGCCGTTGCGGGCAATAATCTCCCGGCCATCTTCCCGTCGCCACGTGATCTTCGGCTTGGGATGACCACGTGCTCGGCAGACGAGTTTGGCGGATCCGCCCTCTGGGACCATCATATCTCCGGAGGTCTCTTCGTTTATGATGTCCGGCGGTATGACCACTTCCAAGGTGGCCGTCTGCAAGCGAAGCGAGCGGTTACTCATTAGATTCCCAAAAGTAGGCGAAAATCGAGCATACGCCCCGTTTTATATAAGTTAAGCATACGCCCTGTATACGTGTTTGTAGATAATTGTAAGCTTTTTAACACAGCACTTGTTGATTTCAAATCACTTGTACATTTGAATAAATGTTTTTTGTACTTATATCTTCTCTAATATGTTCAACGATCCAATCGTTGCGCTTTTATCTACATGCCATTGAAAATGCCACAAAAGTGAGCCCGTTTAATGAGTATTGGTCACCATTTTAGCTGCACTCAGCGACAAATAGCCGTCTCATTATGGAGCCCAAAGTCCTGCGCCTCTCTTTCATTTTTTGCCATTTTTTTGTTTTTTGCCATTTTTGCCGTTTTGCCGTTTTGGCCGTTTTTGTTTCATTCTGCGGTTGCTGGCTGCTAGCAACAATAACCGAATTGCTGCTATCATTGTCGTTGTCATTGTCATTGTTCCCGCTGCAGTTGACAGTTGTGTCATAAAATAAAGTTGACGTCACTGGGAAAAAAGGAGAGGCTGGCTGGCAGCAAAAAAGGGAAAACCCCAAACGAGCCAAGCGCGAAATATATACGGCAGTGGGTAAAAAAAGGCTGGAAAGCAGGACGGCATGCGAGAAAGCTGGAGAAATGTCAAGCCTGTTTGCGTTTTATTTGTCTCATATTTGCTTTTCACTCAATTCGCTTTGTTAGGTTGATTTTATTACAAAGAGGGTAATGGGAAGTGGGGAATGGGGAATGGGGAATGAGGATGGCTGGTGCCGCCACCCACCCACGTTTTCCTCTCATCGCCTTCTTTGCAGCATAAATGAAATGAAATTGAAAACGCAATCGTTTTCCACATGTCGCTTAATGGTGGGGTGGTGCTGCATAAAAAAACTCAATTCGACTCGACTCGACTCGACTCGACTCGAGTAACACCAAACGTCAGATGAAAACGACGCGCACACATAGGAAAATTCGCCCGGAAAACTCGCCCGGAAAATTCCAGAGGACCCCCGCAAACACACACATATGCGCTCTTTGGTGACGTCAACATTGCAGCGGCGCTGTGTTCGTTATTTATTTTTGTCATTAAAGCGCTTCATTGTTTATATATCGTGTTTAAATGTCACCCCGCACAGACACACAGCAGCGGCGAAAAATGAAAAAATAAAATAGAAGGAGGCCAGGACATGTGCACACACACAGCAACACACCAACACATGCGAAGGCCCAAGAGGGATCCCCAACATTCCCGGAATAATTTCATTATACCCTACTCTTCCAGGAATTTTTTACGCCGCCCTTCGCAAAGGCAACCGAAAGTTGATAGCTTTGATGCTTTGTAAGTTTCAAGAAATTAGGCTGCAGCAAAAGGGGAAAGCCGTTCACGGGAGATGCAAATACTTGATGCCTCAGAAAAAGATACAAAAAAAAGGAAACTACATGCACCTCTTTGTTTTGCCTTATGCCGAACATTTGCATTTGCAACAGAAGAAATTAGAAAACACTTTGTTTAGGAAATTCATATGACTTGCAAAGGTTGTTCAAGGTACCCCACAAAAGGGCTTGTTTTTCCATCTCTTTATTCATTAGTTGACGTACGTAGGATCTTGATTGAGCAATAGAAAAGCTCGGTTATTCGGCCTATCAGTACTAAACCTTTAAATATGTTATTTTATGCGTCAACACAAAGCAAAGCTCATTTATATTTCAGTCAAATTGGATAAGTAGTTGGATAGTGTGTTAATACTTAATAGCAGTAAGTTTTGAAATCCAATATACATTTGCCAACTTTAAAACCATCTAGTGAGTGGAATGATACATAAAACTGTTAAATGCTCTGTTTCTCAATTCCTAATCAAACTTACTAAGTTAATGACCAGACTCAGCTTTCAAAAAGTCACATTTATCTCGCTTGATTTTTAGATATATATCTCTTTTATTGAGAACATGTAATATTGCTATCGGTTTTACGTTTCGCTTTTTTAAGGCAGGAACATTTTAAAATTACGTTTCTTGCAATCAATTTTGAGGATGAGTTTGTTTTTACATTTGTTGTCAATTGGATTGTCAATTGGATTTAAGTTGACAGAGCTCTGGCTTACGAAAAATATTAAAAGTGCTACAGATGCTGTCATTTTTATCATAGTATCTCATAGTATCTTATAATATCTAATAGTATCTCGTAGAATCTCATAGTATATTATATCGTAGTATCTCGTAGTATCTCATAGTATCTCACAGTATATCGTAGTATCTCATAGTATCTCGTAGTATCTCATAGTATCTCATAGTTTTTCATAGTATATCATAGTATCTCATAGTATCTCATAGTATCTCATAGTATCTTATAGTATCTCATAGTATCTCAGAGTATCTCATAGTATCTCGAAGTATCTCATAGTATCTCATAGTATCTCATAGTATCTCAAGTATCTCATAGTATCTTATAATATCTAATGGTATCTAATGGTATCTCATAGTACCTCATAGTATCTCATAGTATCTCATAGTATCTCATAGTATCTCATAGTATCTCACAGTATCTTGAAGTATCTTGTAGTATCTCATAGTATATCGTAGTATCTCATAGTAGCTCTTAGTATCGCATAGTATCTCATAGTATCTCATAGTATCTTATAATATCTAATGGTATCTCATAGTATCTCATAGTATCTCATAGTATCTCAGAGTATCACATAGTATTTCATAGTATCTCATAGTATCTCATAGTATCTCATAGTATCTCATAGTATCTCATAGTATCCAATAGTATCTCATAGTTTCTCATAGTATCTTATAGTATCTCATAGTATCTCATAGTATCTCATAGTATCTCATAGTATCTCATAGTATCTCATAGTATCTCATAGTATCCCATAGTATCTCATAGTTTCTCATAGTATCTCATAGTATATGGCATCCTGCCGTTTCACTTGATTTTGTGGGTAGCGAGTTGGCTAAGAATCATATTTTGTATCAAGCCAAGGGGGCTCATGGCAAGACACCATGGCCTTTTTAACTTTGCAGAAAAGCCGGTGGCAGCGACATTTATTATAATCGAGACAGAAAACAAATGATTCGTTTTTCCGGGGAAGCCACTCACCTGCATCTTCATGGGATCCGTGTTGACCTGACACATGTATTTGCCGGCGTCCTCCATTTTGACGCTGCGTATGTTGAGCGTCCATGTGTTGTAGTCATTGTGCTGCACCGATAATCGATCATTGTTGGTTATCACGTGCTCGTGAATGGCCAGAATTGCCTTGGCATCGGCCTTAATCCAGGCGACCTGATGGTGCCAGTTTGCCAAATGGAAAGGGGGCGGTCGGCGGACGTCGGGAACAATGGTGGGAAATCGAGGGGAGTCAAGGGGAATTGTGGAAATCGAGGGGATTCGGGGGGAATTGGGGAAATCGGGGAAATGAAAGTGGGGATAAAGGGATGACCATTGTTGTTGTTGAGTTGATGACAGCGCCGGTTTGAATGTCCATGTGAGTGTAAGTGTGAGTGTGTGTGCGAGTGCGAGTGCGTTGATGAAGACAACGGTTGGCCGTTGTTGCATGTCAAAGTGTTGTTTGTGTTTGTGTTCCAGGATATATATGTACGCGCGGATGTGAGCGGACGCCAGATGTTCGGAAATTGCAGTTTGATATCCACCCACCCACAGGAAAAGTTTTGGGGTCATTATATTTAGTTAATGCCAATGTGGGCAACATTCGCGAGTTGTCGCATTGTTGTGTTGTTCGGTTGTCCGAAAGTTAAGGTTGTCCAATATTGTTGTCGATTTTAAAGAACCACCCATGTTCGCAGGATCATATGGTTGTTGAATTAACGCAACATTGGGTTGAGTATCGAACATTCGTGTGATTAGGAAAGGTTGTTGAAATACCAAATACCAATTGAGTTCATTGATGAATATGTGCATCGATGTTTTTAAATATGGTTGATTTTTTGATGGATTGGGTTTCATTGTTTGTCCAGTTTTAGTTTCGGTGCATTGGAGTGTTGGGCAGGGGCGGTGAAAATTGTGTGACGGATTTCCCAAGGTTGGCCATTTGCGCCAGTGTCGTTGCAATGGATTCAAAGGAGCCGGCGATAGTGTTGATAGTCAGTTTGGTTTTAGATTTGAGGTCGTTGTTGTTGTATTGTGTTGGTGTAGCATTGTTATTGGTATTTTTGTTGTTGTCATCGTCAGATGTCAGCGCAATTTGACGCCATTTTCCATTTCGCACAGGAGCGGTGGAGGAATTTTTGCAAGTTTTTGGTTTTTGGGTGGGTTGGGCATTGGGTTGGAGGATTTTGTTGTTTTTTTTCCGGTGGTTTTGCCATCGAGAGCAGATTGTTAGAGTCATTGTTGGTGGTGTTGTTATGGTCGGTGGATATGAAAAGGGATATTTCAAGTGCAATTAGTGGAATTGGGTTTGTGGTTTTCGGGTTTTGGGTTTCGGTTTTCGGTTTTCAGCGTCCATCGTTAGCCATTTGGCGAATGGATTTTAGTGTGTTTTTTGTGGATACGTTTTTAGGTTTTTGTTTGTATTTGTGTTTGTGTTTGTGGAGAGAAGAAACATTCAACAATTAGTTAACATTTTGCGCTTATGTAATCTCTTCTTATTTCTTATGCATTTCTATACATGTTATTTTCCTTCTGTTTGTAACCAAAGAGCAATGATAAAACAAACGTACATACAACAGGAAATAACGCTCACATGTGCATGGCACACACACACACACACAGACAGAGTGAGTGTGTGTGTGAGATAGAGAGAGAGACAGCGAGACAGAGAGAGAGAGAGAGTGAGATAGTCCGACAGACAGAAACGAAGGGAAAGGAAACACAAGAGTCATGAATTATGGGTGCAGTTGGCGGTGCGTTGTAAAGCGGCTAATCAGTTGGCATTAACATCGCATGCACAATTAGAAAAAAGAGTGGATAAACGTCAAGGGAAGAGGACTAAAAGGATATATGGGTATACATATATGTGTGGGTATATATGGGTACATTTAGGGGGCCGGCAGGCAAACGTTGCAACACTCGCAATGCTCCCCCATTCCACTAATCCCAGCCCAGGCCCGCCCCGTCCCGTCCCGTCCCCTCCCAGCTCCTCTACTCCGCCTAGTTTTAATTAGCATTATGATGTCCCGACTGAGAGCAGTCGACGGGTTTTAGCTAATAGGCTTAAGCGGCTTTGTGCGGACGAAACGAAACGGGTTTCGCAAATCCGGAGAGTGGAACGGGGAAAGGAAACGGAAGCGGGAACACTGAACACTGAACACTGGAAAGGGAACTTACGAACGATAAAGTCGGATCGGTACACTCAGGCAAAAACTGGACAGATAGGCTTTGTACGAGTATTATGAAAAATCCTCTAACCTGTACGAATTTTTTCCATTTCCGAATGGTGTCTTCGCGGCTTAGAATTCCCAAGTCATTATTCTGAGGAAGTAGCGTATATATATGGCTTTAAGAAAAAAGTTTTTCAATTAACAGTTTAATTTTTAAGCCTATTTTAGTTGGCAACTGATTGTGATTTTGATTCGACATTTTTTAAGTATTTTTCAGGTCACCAAACAATTAGAGCCCTTCTTGGCTTACAATTTCAAATATCACATTTATTTAGTTGATGATAGCACATTTATTTAGTTGATGAAAAGGTGATTTCAAATGAGAAGGACTAGTTTTTGCAGTGTATTACATTTGTTCAAGCCCTTAGAAGTCAATTGAATGTTATATATGTATGTTATCTGTATGAATTGAAAAACGACGAATCTAATAAGGAAAACTATTGCTTAAAAATGCCCAAAAATGATTTTTAAAACTACCAATATTCTTGCGTCTACTAAGTATTCCCATTATGCCTTGATATAATTTTAACGTACGTAACGTAAGCGCACCAAATTATTATTTTTTGTTAGAATTTGGTTCAATAATTATCCTCTTTTAGCACAATTTTTCTAAGTTTCAAAGCCCTGATGAAAAAGTGCAAATGAAAAACCCCAGAAACTCTGTGTAGAATCAGTAAAAACTAGAAACTGAAATAGCCATGGCTCTAGCTCTTTTTTTAATCGCTGCCGATTGATACAACTTTTGACTAAAGTGATAAAATATTTGCCATTAGTCCTTTGTGATCTGCCAACCAGGCAGTCGTTTTGCACGTTTACATTGTACCGGGTCCGGCAATCCAATAAGCAGGAATGCCAATACAGCTGAGACCCAGACCTCGCATTTCGCTTTTTTCCCTCGTTTTTTATTGAGTGTGTCAATAGCAGGACGTTCGAGGGGTGTGGTGTTGCAAGGTGGGTGCTCGGAAATGTGGAGGGGGTAGAGCGGATGATGCGGGGGTGTGGGGGTGTGGGGTATGGGGCACGGGGCATGGGTGATGGGTTATGAGCCCTCTTGGAAAATAAATACCCATGAACGGCAGCCAGGACGAACGTTTGATGTTGCAGCGCGACGGCGGCACTGGCGTTTTATTTATTTACTCAATAAAGCAAATTTATTGAGTAATGCATGGATGGGATGGGGTGGGGTGGAGAGATCAGGGGCTTTTTGGAGGGTCCGCGATTTCAAACAAAGGCTCAAACGGATTGTGACGAAAATAAGGCAAACAAAGAGTGGGTCAACAAAAAATCTGTGCGGAGAAGTGGATATGTAAAACGGATTGTAAAAAATTTTCAAATGTAAATGCAAATAAAGCGAGCAAATGTCATAAAGTAAATCTACAGTTACTACATGGACAATACACGACTACATAAAGCACAACTCTCACGCACACACAAACAAACACATTCGCACACACTCGCACACACTCGCACACGAGCACTCACATGGATTAAACATACGTATGTTATATATACATATACAAAAATGGTGCAAAGTTTGTTTCGGTTTGAACTCGGTGCGCTTGAATTTATTTTTATTAATATTTTTCTGTATTTTACTAACCAAAAATGAAAACAGTAAAAGATGCCCGAGAATGTGGGCCAAAAAACGAACCGAAAATCGGAAAGGAAAGTACAAACAGAGGGACAGAGATAGAGATACACTCCGGGGAGCGAGTGCGACCGAGAGGGCAACACAAATGCAAACAATGCCATGAATTTCGCATTGTTCGCAGAGTTGTTGGCTTCGTCGTTTAACAAATGGATGAGCAGCAGGAGTCGCGGTTCGCAATTTCATCTAAAGTTTTATGAGAAAGAAATCTTAAATTATGCATTGCCGACGAGGAACAGAGTATAATTGCATGGGACTGCATTGAATTGAACCCTGGTCACACTTGGCCTTTTTTATGCTAGAACATTTTAAGCAGACCAGCCCCAAGAGCCCCAAATGGATTGAAGTTATAAATCTTTAACTTGACCGTCTGATTAGGTATCTTTCAATACTCGCTTTCTAATAACTGGAAAAGAATAATAAGAATATACAAGTTGTTATACCTTTATTGAACAAAAATTGAAAAGACCGATTGCACGCTTATTTTACATTGTCACCGAAAAAATGAATTGTAATTTAACTTTAGAGCATCCCATATCTTCAATTTCAGCTGGTATCCATCGCCTCGCCATTTATTTTATTAGGTTAAAAATAACTTATTTGTGGGAATATTTATACTTTAAATGAAATGACATCGGGCATTACGACTACCCTTTTTCCTGTGCGCTTCAGCCATTTCATTGCAGTTTGGCTTTGTTCTTTTTGTTTGATTGAAGCATCGAAGGATTTATATGAAATGGCGTTTTTATTTATGATGCCATTTCGTTGATTAACACTCTTTGATGTGCGACGCAAAAATTCGCAGTGCGACAGGGACAGAGACATAGGCGGAGGCGCAAGAAAGAGAGAGAGAGGTAGTCAGGACTACCAGATACCCTATTGATGGGGTCACAAAAACTGTGGAGCAGCCACTGTGGTTGTTCACCAACCTAAGAAAGTAAGTGAAGTCATGGAATTTTGTACGACATTAGTCCATATAAAGGGGACTAAATGTGTAGCTGTGACTCAATTTGTGTAACCTTAAACAAAGCATTCGATATTTCTTATTGTTGCAAAAACGCATTTAGCGCGAAAGCATCGAAAACTGAAACAAAAAGACTTTCTCTGGACTGCCTGTCATTTGAAGTTGTTCTTCAGTTTCACTGCAATGTTTTCACTTCAATGGTTTCGAAACGATTAATAGGTATGTAGTAGACTTTACAAACGAATTCATGGCCTTTGTCATTGAAAATGTACATGTAATGCTTAGATAACTTAAAAATCTTTTTAATTTTGTTATGCACTTAATGTTTTTCTACAGGCATTTAAAAGTAAAACTTATCAATTAACCAATCCAGTTACTCTCCACAGCTTTGTATTCCTACTTATGGATTATGACAATCACATAAAATCCCATGTTGTTCGCTTAGAACGAATGACTTCCGCGATTAAGGGATAACCAGGCTTAAAGAGATTAAATCCTCGCTGATACAACGACTTAATTTGTTTTCATTGTTTACGCGATGCGATGCGATGCGACCTCATATATGTAAGTACAACCCCCTGGGAGGCGCTGAATAAAAGCTATTTCGCATTTATTATTGTAATATTAATTTTTTTCGTTTTTTACGATTCACGATTGTTTATTGTTGTTAACAACAATCGCTTTCAGCTGGTGGTTTTTGTGCGCTGCTCTTTTATCGCTTAAATTCTTTGGCACAATGCCGGAGTCGGGAACCCGTATCCCCGGAACCCCGGATTCCCCGTTTTGTGAGTGTTATAAATTAAATGTGAGTGCTAATAATAATATAATACGATGATAAAAACAATAAGCTATGCATTTTTCGGTTTCGGTTTCGCATCGCACAAATTGTGCCATGTTTATTTAAATTTATTTTGATGCCGCTGCTCGATTCGACGATGCGATTCAAATCGATTCGAATCGATTCAATGCGATTGTTGATATTTTCGCTACTGTTATTGTTTGGTACTTTTGTCTCAGTCGTTGCTGTTGCTTTTGGCTGTGCATCGGGGCGTTTAATATGCAGAGTGCTCTATATACATATTTTTTGTGGGTACTATATATATTGTATATATCGTAAATATTGTATGGTGCTATGATTGTTATACTGGTAGTTAACTATAGATATGCGTATAATAGGAATAGGTGCGCTTAACGGTTACATAATTGCGATAATTGTGGTGCAGTTGGGAACTCGTTATTGTTATTGGTGCCTTTTAGATTGGAAAATCGTTAAAACTGTATTAAGTTATTTGCATAAGGTGCACTTGAAATGGCAAATGAAACGGAACGGAAGAGATCGGAAACAAAACGAAGTTACTCGAAACGGAACGGAATGGAACGGAACGGAACGGAAGTTGAGAATTCAACGCTGCGCTTGAAACCGATACATACCTTGGCTGGGGCTGACGAACCGTCACCACTCACCCGATGACCCCCGAGGTTGTTCACCACGCACGTGAAGGTCGCGTCCCGACCTTGGGCGATGGTCACGTTCTCCAGCGGAATCACAAAGTCCGGCTCGAAGGCGCCCACTGAGGAGATTTTGTTCGAAACGGTAAGATCTTCATTTCAATTGACATTTCCATGAAGAGAAGACATTGATTGAACAATTAACACAATTTCGAACAAATTTACATATGCTATGTGCGGTGTGTGCGTGTAATTGGATGTTCATGTCTGTGTGTGTGTGAGGGTTAGTGCACAGAGAAGAAAAATTTACGTTCAAATTAACAACCATCACAAAACGGAAATCACACTTTCTGTTTATACTTAGAAACGCTCTTTAAGCGCCGGCATTTAGCATTTTATAAAACGTTACGGCCACTCAAAGTTAATAATTTTTTTCTCCGTGTATATGCTTCTGTACAAGTGGATAAGTGTCAGTAGCGAGCGGCCTGTTAACGGTAGGCAAATTAATATGGTTAAGCTGAACAAACCAATTAGGTCGATAACTGCCATCGACCTAAACGGGAAAATCAAGCAAGCATAACGTGGTAAAAGCTGGAATATATGTAAATCGATTACAGTGAGTGATCGATTACCAATATTCGAGCCATTCGACAGTGCAGGATTATCGTAATAAAGGAAGCAAAGCGAAAACATTAATCGGCATTTGCCCAGCGCCAGAGCTCGTTCATTTGAGGATCCGTCGTCACTTACCAATGCAATTACAGAGCAGGAGCAGTAGCAGCAACTGCCACCGAATTGCAGGACCGCACCCACTTCCGATTCCGATTCCGGTCCCGTTTCCGTTTCCGGTTCCTGATCCCACCAGCCCCGATCCCGGTGCAATCTCCAGCTGCGCCAGCTTGCGTTGTTTGGCTACTTGGGACAGTTTCGGTAGAGATTGGGTATTGTGCTCCTGGCTGCAGCTGATGTCGGCGATCCGCTCGCCGCTCTCCTTCACCACCAGCAAGTTCATCATAATACTGTCCCAGCTTCCATTGGCATGATTTCTCTGGTGTTTAATCGGCAAGTTTTGGCGGGGATGCTGGAAAAAGTTATAAGGCAAAGGTACGAATTTAGTTATACACGGTCTATTAGAACTTTGTTTGATTTCCACTGATGAATGAACGATTAAAGGTACGAGTATACGAGTATATCGAACAAAGAGCACACCATCCATTTATCTTTCCCTTTTCATCTTTCCCACTTCACATAGCAAACTATAAAGTGCCACTCAGTTATACACAATGGAACCACCGATTAACTCTAATTAGTTATATACATTTCCTCCACTTTAAGCACTCCTTTCTTTGCCTTTCTAATGTTTGCTTGTCTCCAATTCCGTTCACCTTTTCCGCACTGTCAAATTGTCAAAATAAAGAATCTTGGTAGACGTACGTACATATTGCACTATTTGCCATGCTATCTTATTTCTGGTAGCTTGTATTTTGTATGTCTTATAGTGTGGCTACATTATCTATTGACAGAGCGTTGCATGTGGCAGTGTGGCAACTAGTCGACAGGGCACCCGGGAAACAAAACTCGGGACTTGGCTCCAGGGACTCCAGACGAGCTGCCTCGCCTTTGTTTGGCGACGCCACCATTTTTATTGCCAGAACGGAGGAGCCCGCGAAGGATCGGCAGTTGGATTTTTAATGCAACAAAGAGCGGCAACCTTTTCAGTACAGAGGAAAAAAGTCTTTTCATTGGGAGATGCCTATTTCCAAAGAAATCAAGCTACTTAAATGTTAAAGGAAATGTGTGTTTAGCTTTTTTCTCACAATACCCACTTATGCATCTCTGAATCCAAATATATCTATGTATATCTAATTATATTTTCAAAAAACTTCGCTGAAATCATTTTTGCTGTCTGATACCTGGTTTAGTTTTTTAAGACTATTTTACTGGCGTAAGGGCGAATCACAAGTTAAATGTAGTTCATTTCTGTACTGTTTTTTGAAGAGGTTCAGAAATAGTAAAAGATGCGATTTATTCTATCGAAAACAGCTACATGATACATTTTGAACTGCTATACAAAACGTAATAGACAGAAAATACCAAGCCCCATACATAGTGTATGCTAAGTGCATAAGTGCGCCATCTGTGCAAAGATGGATTTAAAACTGGTTAACAGAGTAACGTGTTTTTGATGGCCAAAGCACTTGGCTAAAGCGTTTATACACCCGCCACTCGTGGAGTTGAATATTATACTAGATTCGTTTCAAAATTCATAGCAACCAGAGTACAGCGATTCCGACATTATAAAGTGTACATATTTTCGATCAGTGCGATTGGCCGGTGAATGCAACTGTGTACGTCTGTCTGTCCGTATGTCCGTATGTCCGTATGTCCATCTGCCTGTCCGTTTGTCTGTCCGTATGAACTTCGAAAGTTCGAAAGTTCGGGAACTATAGCAGCCACGAAGTTGGTATTAAGTCTACCTCTTACTCTGCAAGTAAGGGATATAGAAATGATGTCGCTGAGTAGTTTGCAATATCATAACTCACTTCGCAGCGTTACATACTCGTATATCAAACAAGATAGTCACCGCATTCAAAATATTAAATATGTAATAAGATATTGATATAGCTAAACCCCTCTGGCAGAATATTTCGCATGCTTTTCTAGCGTGTATCTGGTATCTGGTTGTCCTCGGCACGGGGCTAGAACCTTTCGCAAAGCCGAAGGACAGTGAAGCGCAGGATACGGAGCCCGCACGTGCCGCTATTTACATTTGCACGTAATAAATTCTGAGAGCGAAGGACGAGGACTAGGAGTCGCAGCCGGAAATGTGCCGGAAGTGCATATGCCGGCTGTCGTTCGCCCCGTCCTTCGTCCTTCGTCCTTCCGCCTCGTGCTCCTCGTCTTTCGAAGGACACCGACACGGACAGGGACACGGACACGGAGCAACGTGTTGCATTCGGCACCACTCTCCTTTTGCAGCGGCACACATATTTACATTGACGAAATTTAATGAGCTCACAAAAGCTGGGCCCAAATATTTGAGCTGCGAAGGCTGGATCGAAGCCAGCACATTAGTGTGGGGACGTGTGCGAGGCGTTTTATTGAAAACGTGTCCTATCTGTCGTCCATGTCCAATCCTAGCTCCTCAGCACTTAGTCCTCGGTCCTTGTCGCCCCTCAATAATCTATGCGGGTGTCTTTTGTGCACTCGCCACTCAAACATTTTCCACACTTTCCACGCTTTTCACACTTTTCACACTTCCCCACTTTTCACACTTTCCACACTTTTCACACCTTCTACACTTGTCACAGTTGCCGTTCCAGTTTGGTGGCCCAGCCAGCTGAGATCGCCAGATAAGTAGGCGTTCCCTCGATACCAAAGGACAGCCCCAATTCCATATAAATAATTGTTTGACTGCAGCTTTAGTGACACAGTTTGGTGCTCGGATATTTACCAATTAATCCCCATTGTGCTTGGCTCAATAACTGTGAATTAATTGATTGGCAGCAAATAGACAACCGAATTAGGCTGCCATTACCATGTTTAACCAGCTTTGGTAAGAAGGGTACACGAAACTGTTTCATGCTATTTAATGTATATTTTTTATACATTTCTCCTAGATGTATTTTCTTTGCTTTTGTAATGACTTATAGTTACTTCAGGAAATTCTGAACACATTCGGTTTATTCACTGGAAATGCGCAATGCCCGAAATACTCAGGCATATTTACTTGAAACTGTTGCCCTGCACGAGCTTAAATTCTTTGGGCTTTTGGGCAGAATTGGTTAAATGAAAATTGTAGAAGGAGGTACATAAAAGATGCCTTAAATAAATCTGGTGTCCTTTAAAAAGGTGTACGTGTGCCGTGTGGAGAGCGCATTTCCTTTCGTTGCACTTTCGACGGATCAAATTGAATTGCCAGGGATAATATTATAATGATTTTGGGCTGCACACAGGGAGAGTTAACAATATGGTTAAAATTTACCTTGTGAAGGAACAAATTGACGGTTCTGCCAGGTACACTCTTATTAGGGTCAGGTTGAAAGGTAGCAGCCGGTGGCCTCCACACCCGGACCCGGCCAATCTGAAATTCCAGCCCTTTTCAGGCGGCTCAACGGGCATTTTCAGGCTTTTAATTGAAACAAAGTGCCATGGCTGAAACTCAATATTAGAGTAAATATTGCTGGTGCCTCGAAATAATTTCCCAGGGACGGGGAGCCGAGATCACAGGCTCAGGCAGTCTAATATAATTTTTTGTTTGTGCAGAAGGCGAACGGAAATTGCTGGCTATTAATTGTTTTGCTTGTTGCCTAAGTGACATTCTTCTTGCATTTTCCCCCGTCTTCCCCCCTCTTCCCCCCTCTTCCGCCCGTGATTTTTCCAGCAGCAAAATATTTTCCTCTCCGCCTCGAATTGGCTTTTGTTTTCTCCTGCCGAAAACTTTAAGTAAATCCGTTTGTGTTTGCGGCCAAGTATGCTTGTGTGCTTTTGTTGCTGACATTTAAAATTACACACTTGGGAATGCCAAGTTTTGCTTCAAAGTAAACAGTATTAGACAGATAGTTTCGGGCTGTGGTGGGTGGCTGAGGGGCAGATGACTACTGGCCATCGACTGGCCATGGAACGTGCTCATTTTCCCGTTTTCCCATTTGCCCGTTTGCCCATTTGGCCATTTTCCCACCCACTTTACCCCAACGTGGTCGTTGTCATGGTCAGCAAAACTTACTTCTCGCGGCGCTTGTGAAAATGGGGACGCAGATTTCTGGGGGCTGAAATGGGTTTGGACACCACTGTACAACTAGTATAACTGTATTTGCCTAGCATCTAACAAGCACACACGCCGAGAATCCCACATGCCATAGTTGTGTGTGTGAGAAATCCAAATATCTAACAATCGAGCTGCGTGTTCCAACTAGTTGGTACCCCTTGCACACATTTTGTTGCGGTCGTTTTACGGCTTGTTTTGTTCCAAAATATCAGATCTTAAGCATTTCACAACTCTTGAGACATTTCGAATCCTTATTTGATCTTTTGGTATTACCATACAAAAGTGTTACAGTTTGCGGTTGAATATCACTATAGTTCTCGAAATCACTATCGTTCTCATTAGCTGCGACTCGAGCTCCAGCTGCCAGATACCTCGCACAATAATGCAGCAAACCGTTTGACTTGCCCCACCCATTGTTGAAAGACCCCCTGTGCACGAGTACCCCGCCCGGAATGCCACATGCCCACATGCACCTCGTGTTAGTCTGGGACTTTAGTGCTGATGCGACAGATTTTCGAGACACTGGGACATGTGGCAAAGTGTAAATGAGCAGTCCAGGCCAGGATTCTCGCCTCGTGTGGCCGGCGGCGCAATTGTCGCCCAGTAGGAGGGCGACGCCCCTGCCACGCCCCTCTGGCCAGAGCTGGGAAACGCCTGAATATGCGTGAGTGTGTCAACTGGTCCAGAGAAAACTGCCAGCTCGCGTCATATTTTTATTTGCTGCTACAACTCCCACCACCGACTTTCCACCGACTTTCCACCTCTTTGGCTCCGTCGTTTGTTACTTGGCCACGCCCACCAGCCAGCGCCCACCACGCCTTGTGGTCTAATTGACCGCTCTGGGTCTGGCATTGGATTTAGCTCTCGTTTTGGCTTTGGCCTGGCTTTAACTTCAATATCATCTCCACCAACCTGACCTGGCAGCCATTGAGCCGGCTAAAAGGAGGAGAAGTGGGGCAGCTGATGTGCCACGAGCATGGCTGGACAATTGTCCTATTGGCCTGATCCTTAGTTATCCTTAGTTATGCTGTGTGTGCCCGCGCTCAAGTGGAAAAGTGCCTTGCTCTGTGATGGGAATGAAGAAGGAAGTCGAAGGCTCGGATCTGCGGATTTGTTTTCCCGGTTTGCGGCCACTTCTTAGCTGCAAATCTCTTTAATTGAGTCCCTTGGGTTGTAAGGTCTTTTTAATTGAACACAAGTTCAGGTTTCTGAATCTCGTAGAGGGACTTAGGCAAATGTGTTTCCAAAGCTCGAAACGCACACCTAATATTTTAAAATGTTGTTTGTTTCAAATGTTTTACAATGTATTCTAG